CACGGCCCCTGCTGACGCCAGTGATGCCCACAGAGACACCCGCCCCGAGATCTGCTGCCCAGGTCCCCCGCACGGGCGAGCTCCCCGGGGCGAACGTCCGAGTGTTGGCGAGAAGACTTGAACGTGTGCACAAGCACACACAGCTGCCCTGTGAACCACGTGCTGTTTGTAAGCATTTCCTGGCTCCCGCCCCCTCTCTGCCGGGCAGCTGTGCCCGCGGAACCCCATCCTCCCAAACCAGAAACCGCCCCCTCCAGAACCCCCAGCGGCTTCTCCCTGAGCAGCCCCTTTGTTACCCTCTCCGACCCCCCGACCTCGGGGCTCCGGGGGCAGACAGGGCCTCCTTCCTTCCGAGGAGAACCCCTGACTCGGCGGGAGCAGCACACGGCCCGGTCCCTCCTTGGGCCCCTGCGACCCTCACTCTCGCTCCCTGTCCCTCCTTGGGCCCCTGCGACCCTCACTCTCGCTCCCGGTCCCTCCTTGGGCCCCTCCGGCCCTCACTCTCGCTCCCGGTCCCTCCTTGGGCCCCTCCGGCCCTCACTCTCGCTCCCGGTTTTTCCTTGGGCCCCTCCGGCCCTCACTCTCGCTCCCATTGCACCTGCAGCCGCGGCTTGTTTTTCGGGCAACGGAGCAGCAGGTCATTGGTGACGGAGCGTTTGAACCTGTGTCCACTTAGCCGCGAGCTGACTGTGTAATTGGAAATCCAGCGTGTTTACAGGGGCTGGAGGCCGGGCTGTGTGCGGGTGGGGGTGGGGGGCTGCCTCACGCCCCAGCTCGGCAGCCACAAAGGGCAGGAGCCACGCGTCCTCCCTTCCTCCCACCAGCACGCCTGCTCGATCACAGCCCTGGCGCAGCCATGAGCTTGGAGTCAGCCTCCCGCTCCTCCCGGTCAGGCCTGGCCGCCCCCAGACGCCTGCCACCTGTGGGAGAGGAGGGGTGAGCACAGCTCCCGGCTCCCATGGCTCCCAGGCCCACGGCGGAGAGGAGCAGTCAGTGCCCACTGGCACCGTGGTGACCATGACGGTACCTGAACCCGCGGAGCTGCCTCCTGACTGCGGGGTGGGAGCCAGGGGCTGCCCTGCCCGGGCCCCTGCCTCCATCTCCAAACGGGGTGCTGAGCACATGACAGCGAGGAGGACGCTGGGCCCCCACCTCACGGAGGTATCTGAACACACAGCGCTTAACCAAGGCACGCAGCGCGGGCACCGGTGTCGCTGTCAGCGCGAGCCCTGGACCCCGAGGCCGGCTGGGGGCGAGCCAGAGCTGGTGACTCTGCAACTTGATGTCTGAGGATGAGTCGCAGCCTCCACAGACGGACAGACGGACGGACAGACGGCTCAGGGTCTCACAGAAGCGGGATGGGGGGCGGGGTGAGCGGCCAAGGAGCACATACCTGCGTTGGAATCCCAGCTCAGCTGCCACAGCCCTCGGGCACCTCTTCATCCCTCTGAGCCTGTTTCTTCATCTGTCAAATGGGGTCCATAACCCCTACCTCCCAAGGTGATGAGATTTAAATGAGCCAAGAACGAGTGGGCCCCACCCATCGCCCAGCCTCCCCCTCAGTGGGGGCTCTCGGCCAATCGCATTAGGTCGGGGCATAGGTGCTCCTGGCCCTTCCTTGCTGCTTCTGCGTTGGCTCCACCTCCAGGCCGCAGGCAGGGAAAGGCTGGGTGCTACCCGCACAGCCAGCCCCCCAGGCGCTCACAGGGCAGGACCTGGGCAGCAGGCAGGTACCTGACCTCTGCATCGTTTCAGGATGGAGGTCCCCCCACCGCCCAATTGCAGGCCCAGCCCCGGGGAACCTGCCCCAGCCTCTCCCCGCCGGGCCCCGGAGCAGAAGATAAAGGAAGGCCATGACTCTCAGACACATCTATCTTTATTTGTTTCCTGTCAGAAAAGTTCAAGAATTACACAAAAAATACTCAGCCTCTGCTACCTACTGACAAAAATACACCACAAAGTTAGAAAGCGCTCAGCGGCTGGGCTAGGGACAGCTTGTCAGGGGCTGTGGATGACGGATGGAGGTGGGTGACCTGCGGCCGGGCGGAGGGGGGGAGGGTCGGACGGTGGCCTTGGTGGCCTTGGCGGGACGCCGGGAGCCGCTGCTCTCGGCCCAGCTGCTGTGCACAATGACACAATGACAGCCGCACGGCAGCCACCCAGGCCCTGGCATGGCCATCAGAGCTCCGTGGGGAAACCTCATCTCAAATCACACCTCCCGGCCTGCAGCCCACGCCCGCAGAGGGGCCTCCCAGAATGTTTGTGGGGCGCACTGTGGGTGCCGAGGGGGTTCAGGAGGGCCGGGGTGGGGCAGGCTGAGGCCGGTGCCGCCTCCTTGTCAGGAGCATCTAAACCAGCTCGGGGGTGGCCGGATGTCCCTTCGACACCTGCGTGGGCAGGAGACCCGAGTGTGCGCCTCCTTCAGAACCAGCTCGCTTCGCTGCGGCCCCCGCCTTGGGTCTCCGGCCCCCCCTGAGCTTCCTGGTTACGACCTTTATTGTTCTTCTCATTGCTGTTAGCACTTTGGGAAACAAACAACCGAACAAAAGTTTAAAATCGGGTGCCTGTGCGCTTTCTGCAGCCGCCCCCCCCCACCCCCGCCCCGGCCTGTCAGGAACGTGGGCAGCGCCCAGATGAGGGTCTAGAAATACCAGGAAAAGACACAGGGAGTCACCCGCTCCCGTTTGCGGACACCACCCCCCCAGGCGGCTTGGAAACCCTCACACATCTGTGCTGACCTGCAGGGCACCCCTGCTGGGGGCTGTGGCCGTGAGCTGTGGCTCCCACAGAGCCCCGCTGTGTCCCCAGAGCCCACACAGAAGCTGCGGCCCCTCATCTGAGCCGAGGGTCCTCGCTGCCCTCCACGCCTCCCCACGCAGCCCGCTCACCCTTTTCCTGTTGGTGTTCTGTCTCCTTTCCTGTTTTTAATGTTTCCTAACAAACACTAAGCAGTGGCCTTGAACATGTCTTACATGGGGACGGTCAACACGCAACATGCCTTTGTACACGAGCCGGACTCGGGGAGAAGCGACAATACCAGGGACGAAAAGAAAGCGATTTGGACAACGCCAGCGCATGGAAGTTCAGGGGAGCCCCCCGCCCCCCACCCCGGGAGGACAGCCTTGTCTGATAACTGGAGCTTTTTGCC